AATGCAGAGGAACCAGCCACGGCACACGCAGCGATTTGGATAAACTGGACAGCATTGTGCTGAGCAGAGGAGGCCAGCCCCAAGGAGGATCGGCTGTGTGGCTCCGTTAATATAAACGTCAAGATCAGGGAAAAGTAACCTCCAAGACAGGCGTCGGAGCAGCCTGGGGTTCCGGGAGGGGCAGGACGAGGCAGCTCTCTGGACGGTGCGGGTGGTTGCGTGGACGCACGTGAATTGAGGGGCACATTGATCTGTAGACTTAAGGTTAGTGCACTTGTCAGGGTTTTTAAAGGAATTTACAAATTGAGGAGGCGTAGTGTGGGGATGAGGACCATGGTTCTGCAGGCTGGCCTTGTCACCATAACCCCCAGACCACCCTGTTCTTTTCCTCTGTCTCCCTTCCCGTTCAGGGCACTCAGGCTTCCCTCCTGGAGACGCAGGGTCTGCGCCATCGCCAGGCTGTGCCCTAGTGCTCCTGTGCTCCGGTGGCACATCAGGCTCCATTCTCTCTCCCTGACCCCCAGCGGTGCCACCTGTCTGCCCTCCCTGGCCTTGGGTCTGAGCTGTTCCAACAGCCCCAAGGGCACCTGCACGTCCTGAATCCCTAAGCTAGATGTTGCTCTTAGGGACGGTTTCAGAACCTCTACCCGCCTTGCTCCTACGCCTGATCGTGTCCACCTGCCCGGGGCTTCTTCCCACACAGGAAACAGGCTCAGAGAGGGCCTAGACTTCGAGCAGCCAAATCTGGAGTTGGTACTTCTCATTCCAGGCCATCAAATCACAACTTTTGGTGCCGATCAAGTCAGGAATGGCAAACAGGGTCATCGTATGTGCCTAGTATGATTGATTAGTAGGGCTGCCTGGAGACTTGGCGGAGGAGTCTGAGGCCGCCCTGGGCTCTGCAGAGGGGTGGCTCATGGATTAGTGATGTCTGCCACATATGATGGAGAAATTCGACGTAACCTTGGGGTGGCCGAGGCAGGGCCATGTACCCCCTAAACCTCCCACACAGGCAGCTCACTTCACCAAACCCACCACCACCTTCTCAGCTACGAGAAATGCTTATAATGACAGCTCTCATATATTTATTGAGCCTGTAATTACCAAGTGCAAGACACTGTGCCAAGCACATCACATGCATCCCCTCCCAGCCTGCCCAGGAATCCTATTGTCACCACCTGTGGCAGGTGGAGGATGGAGGGCAGGGGTGCCTGGCCCAGGTCTCCCCTTGGAGGCCACATCCTTGGGCCTCGCAGTCACCTCCTTGCCCCACCTTCTCCACTGCTCCAACTCCTACCTGCCCTTCAGAGCCACCTCAAGTGCCACCAACTTCCCTCATCCCCATTATGCAAGAGTCCCCTCCCTTCTGAACCTCTCGGCGTCCTCAGCTGAAGCTGCCCCATCCTGAAGCTGTGCGTGGCCGCACTGTTGGACCATGACTTCTCCAAGTCTGGGCTACATCCTTTCCTTCTTGGCGCCCCTGGGGGCTGAGCCCAGCCTGACAGAGAAAGGCCCCCCCGAAAAGGTGTGGTGAGTGAATAAGCACCCTCACCTCAGAGGTTAGCCCTGTCTCAGACCTCGCCCAGGCAAACTCATTGTTCATCTTCCTGTGTCTGCTAAGCACCTGGCAGACACAGGCCTCGTGAAGGGACAACAGTGAACGAGATCAGTCCCTACCCCTGGGAATGGCAGTCGCAGCAGTGCCCTGTGACAATTGCTAAGATAGGCAAGCCCCCAGTGAAAATGGAGCATCCAGGAGGGACACCTGGAGGAGGAGATCCCAAACAGGCTCGTCCACGTGGCACTCCTCATTTGCAGTTCTGCCTCCTTTTGTGACTTGTCACAAGCTATCTTCCCACTGATGGGGAGTCCTCTAGGGAAGGCCCCCTTGGGTCTAGGCAGGCTCCAGATGGTTCTGCAGGAGGGAGGGGCTCAGCCTACCCCCACCCCACCCATCTCCAGGCTACCTCTGTGTGAGATGCACATCGGTGTCACTTACGTTGTATGTCACTGCCCACAAAACAAAACAGAAACATTTTCTAAGAGGCTTTTATTCGCACTTCAAGACAGGTGCCAGACCCCCTCCCATTGCCCCGCCCCCGCCCCTGCTCTGTGCCCGGAAGCTGACTGGGCACAGGATCCGTGGGCTTCCGCCTGGACACGCGGCCACTGCGCAGCCCACGGGTGGGGGAGGCAAGAGTGGTATGTATCGCCAGGCTCCCCCTCCAGGTCACCGTGTCCCTTCTCCAAGGTCGCACACAGCTCCTGGAGTCAGCCTCGCCTCCAGCCACAGCTGCCCCTCAGGTCTGGGGTGGTAACGGCTCCCTTTTCTTGCTGGCCCTGGGTACTGCACGTCTCTCCTTTAATTCATGTGTTTCCCATTTATTCAACTCTCCTCACACACCCTGTCTGAGGGTGCCACGAAAATGTAAGACCATGTCAATTGCCCCTATCAGAAAACACTCCTGTACGTTCCACCGGGAGCAGTTCGGAGGGGAGACTAATGGGCACGGCGGAGGCCAGCGGGCCTTCGCTGTTGGCGTCCCCAGGGCACCGGAGTAGGCGGTGTCGATAACAGGTCGATGAATGAACTGATCCCTCTCCACAGCCTCGCCCTCCTTCCGCCCCACCTGCGAGGCCAAGCCGGGCGCCCTGCCTTCCCTCCCGTCCCCAGCGCCTGTCGCTTCACCCCGGACGTGCAGTGGCAGCCACGATGGCACCGCGCGCCCAGACCTCAGCGCCGCCCTGCGGGGGTCCCTGGAGCGACGGGGTTGCCGTCACGTCCCCGCGGCCGTGCGATCAAACTACCGCCCCGCCCGCCGCGGCCCGCGAACAGCTGTGCGCGCCGCCCCACGTGGGGCCGCACGGGGTCGCAGCCCCGGCACCCGATTGGCCGCCGCACAGCCAATCAGAGGTTGGCGGCGGCAGCGACTGCGCCGATTGGTCGTGGCGGGCCGGCGCGGAGGGCGGAGCTGCCTTTTGTTCTTTCCACCGCGCGCTTGGGGCCCGCGTCCGCACCCACCGCCGCACGCGGCCCGCGCGGGGTCTGACCTTGGACAGGCCCTTCGGTCTCCGGCCCTCCGTTTCCTTCCCCTCGTTTTCGCCCTGCCTCCTGGGAATCGTGGAGAACAGCCCTTAACAAACGAGCTTGGGGTCTTTCCTCAATCTAACAAGTCCGCGACAGAAACACTCGCGTTTCCTGGGAGGAGTACGTGGGAGACGCGGGGGGGCGCCAGGCAGGCGGCTGGGCATGCGGGTTGTACCCACCTGAGGCCGTTTTCCTAATGTCCTAATGTCGGCGGGGTGGGGCGGCTGCTCTCCCTAAATCGTCCCCCTCTTCCATCTGTCGCAGGGGCCTCCCTTGGGGTGAACAGCGGTGCCCCAGGAGCCAGGGGCCCTCACAGGGAGGGGGGCCTCTAGGCTGGGCCTGCGCGTCAGGGGTTCGGTGTGGGTCCCCTGACCTCCGGGCCCACCACCTTCCCCTGGGAACTGCCTGAGAGCATTTTCCAGCGTCCCTGGGAGGCAGACAGGCAGCGCTGCTGCAGGCTGTGGACACAGGGCTCCCAATCTCCAGACTGGGGCCTAGGGTCCCCTCCCCTGCAGGAGAGTGGGGTCAGGCCCCTGGGAATCCTCAGTCCCCCTCCCACAGCGATTGGCCTGGAAAAGCCCCCAAGCCCAGGTTGACGGAGAAAATGGAGCCCCAACAGTAGCCCAGGCCTGGGGTGACAGCTAGAGCAAAATGGGGGTCATCTGCAAGGTCACCCTCCCAGACCTGGGAGTCTGTAATTCCTTAAGAATGACACATTTGCGTGTGATCATCAGAATTCCTCTTGTGCTGTCAGTGGAGCAGCCCCTCTGCCGTGGGTGGCTCTTTTGGGGGCCACATGCTCCAGCTCCCAGCAAGCAGCATGGGGAACAGAAGCCTCCCCCAAAGCCAGGGTTTAGTGCCCTGGAAGGACTCTGAGCCCCAGAGCATTGGCAGGTGTCCGTGGCCCTCCAGGGATGGGGCGCAGGAAGGCTGACATCTGTGGATCGTTTTTACTGTTGAACAAATTGAATCAATTAAACAGGCCCCATCGGGGTGGCTGGGAACCTGGTGAACAGGAAGGAAGAGGGGGGCAGAGCCAAGGGGACAGTCTCTGCAGAGCATCTCCCCCAAGGGTTCAGACACACCCCTTTCCCCAGCTGTTTGGGGGCAGGAGCCCCTCTGTGTTGACAAGAGTGAGGGCAGGTCACTGGAGGTGGTGGAGAGGGAGCAGTGGGGAATGCCACTGTGGTGTGCCCCCCACCATGCGAGGCCCCTCTCTCCACCCAGGACGTGGGCACCTCTGTGCTCTTCAACTCCAGCCCTTTGACCCTTGTTGGCGCCAGAGTTCCCAAGACACCCCAGCTTCCTTTCAAAGACATTTTGTTGCTCTCACGTAGAAGCCTCCGGAAGCTGGAAGACTGGGAGTGGGGGGAGGCTGCCCAGGAAGGCTGGAGGAGGCAGCAGAGGAAAGAGGAAACAGATTGTGGGGGTGATAGCAAGGGCCCTCGGTCACCCACCTGGAGCGGAAGCCTCCCCCTCTGGCTGGCTGAGAATGATTTAGGTGCCGGCTGCTCTGTGACCCAGCTGACCGAGGGACAGCCACGTCCTCCCTCCTGCTGGAGCTGCTCCCAGGCCCCGACTCCAGGCAAGGGCTGCAATGCCACCTCATCAAACGCATTTCCCCAAAGATGCAGGTCCTTGACATCCCCTGGAGCTGCTGCTCAGGGGAGCAAGGTTTCTGTGAGTCAGGCCACATCCCCCCACCCCTGCTGCCACTGGCAGCCGGCCAGCGAGCTGCTCTGGGCACAGGCACTTGCCAGGGCAGTAGTGAGCTCGCCGTCGCCCTGGGCAGGCAGGCCATGTCTGCCCCTTGATGTCAAGTGACCGTTACTAGCCCCTGAGGCAGACGGGCGTCTCATAGGCCAGCTCCCTGGGAGGAGAGCGTGGTCAGGGAGACTTCCTCTGCCAGCACTCAGGAACCCTGGGCCAGGAGGCTGAGAGGGCGCTGGCCAGCTTTGGGGCAGGGGTTTGGCTGAGGGTCCTGCTCCTTGGGCAGCAGCAGGAAGTAGCTGGGGACCAGGGCTAGAAGTCACGGCTCAGCCCAGGAGGAGGCACTGACCTTGCAGCTGCCACATCTGTGTCCTGAGCCCTGTGTGGGTGCTGCCCGCTTTCCTGCCCACCACCTCCAGCTGCTGCAGGAGGTACGTCATGCCAGGGGGCAAGTGCAGAGGGGCAGGGAGAGGTGGGTGACGGTGGCTTTCTTGGTTCGTGCTCAGATGTCCCCTGCGGAAGATCCCCACCTCTGCCCTTAGGTAGGGTGTTAAGGTGTGGGGATCCAAAGGGATGCCTGGGTCCTAGCCGTCCGTGCTGGTTTCAAGGGAGGTGTCCAGGCAGCCCCCGCGCACCCCGGAGTAGGATGCAATGTGTCCGTGTTTGTCTTGGCTCCAGCTGCCCACAGGTGGGCACAGAGCGCTGAAAGAAATGGACAGCGGTTACTTAATCCACAGCGCCGTTTCTATACTTTGGCCCCGAGCCGGCGAGCTGCTGTGCAGCCACGGGACAGGAAGTCGCCGCCAGGTGGGTCGCGGGACCGCTGTCTAAACTCGTCCCTGGCGCTTCCCGCCCTGGCCCTGGGTTTACAATCCTGGCGTGAACCAGGAGATCAACCGCCCGGCACTCGCCACGGGGCCCTCCCGCGGAGCCCGCCGGCGGCAGGAACAGTGCGGGGGCGCCCTCCAGCGGCCACGTCCGGGATGGCGGTCGCCTGCGTGGGCCGCGTGGGCCGGGCGCGGCGGGGACGCGGAGGCGGGCGGTCCCCAGCGTCTGCGTCCGGACCCCTTCAAACCCCGTGCGGGCGCCTGGCGGAGCGCGCCGGGCCCCGCCCGGACAGGCTCCGTGTTCCTGATTGGATCAAAGGCAGTTTGGGTCCCAAAAAGGGTGCTGCTCTTGTAGGGAAGAAAAAGCCAACCCCCTCGCCTGGGGGGACTCCGCTGGGTTGCCGCCTGAGCCCCCAAGGGTGGGCCGGGAGGGCGACCTGGCCAGGAGGGGAGGAGCACGACGTCGGAGCTGGGGGAGCATCACTTTGGGAGATGACGGGAGCATTGCATCGAGAGCTGGGGGGGGCAGCAGGGCAGGAGCTGGGGGAGCAGCACCAGGGCAGGAGCTGGGGTCACCGACGCAGGTGCTGGGTCTAGTTCTATCCCTCTCACCTAGAGTTGTGCGTCCTGGGAAGACTAGAGCTTTCCGGAGCCTCACCTCTCCACAAAGGAGGTGGCCTCTGCATGCTGCCTCCACGGCTCCCAGCGGGACTTAGAACTTGGGCCCACACCTGGTAAAGCCCTGCCGCCCGTCCTGAGAGCAGCAGCCTCCTCGCTCACGGAAGAGTAATCACCGCTTCCCTGGGGACCGAAATCCTGCCACGCCCAGACCAAGGGCGCTCGTGGAGCGGAGACCGCACGTCCTGCTTCCAGTAGAGCAGTAGTTTTTTAACAGCTGTATCGAGATATAATTCACATACTATAAAATTTGCCCATTTAAAGTGTACAATTCAGTGGTTTCGGTATATTACATTATTAATTTTTTAAATAGTGGTAAAATATATATATATATAACAAAATTTGCCATTTTAACCATTTTTAAGTGTACAATCTTGTTGAGTACATTTACAATGCTGTGCAACCATTACCTCTAGCCATTTGCAGAACTTTTTCATCATCCCAAAGCTGTTCCCATTAAGCGTTCCCTCTCCCCCCGCCCCTGGCAACCTCTGATCTACTTTCTGCCTCTGTTTTTACCTATTCTAGATTTTTCATGTAAGTGGAATCATACAGGATTTGTCCTTTTTGACTGGCTTACTTCACTTGCATGATGTTTTCAAGGTCAGAATTTCTTTCCTTTTTAAGCATAAATAATAATACGGGTAGACACTGGTTTACGCGTTCACCTATGAACGGGCCGGGGGGGTTGCTTCCCCCTTTTTGCTGTTACGGATAACGTCGCAGAGAACATTTGGAATGCCGGTGTCCCGCATGCCGTTCACGTCCCTGCTTTCAGTTCCCTGGGTGCGTCCTCGGCGTGGAACGGCTGTGTCACACCTTAATTCTACATTTAGCTCCTTAACCACCAAACTGTCTTCAGGGCAGGCCCCAGCATCGCATGAGGGTTCCAATTTCTCCATATCCTCACCAACACTCTTTTTTATTATTGTTGTTGTACAGCTTTAATATTAAACAGCAATATCTTCATTACAAATAACATATTCGTTGAAATAATTTATAAATTACAGAGGGGAAAAATATTGTGTATTGACCTTCAACCCCGCCGCCTAGAGATGACCACGGCTAGTTTTTGGTGACAGCTGTTTTTACAAGCACAGGCTTGCTTTTTAAAGCACGATTTTGGGACCGACAGGACGGGGGCGGGGCGGGGCGCGGAGGTGGCAGGGCGACCGCGAAGCCCCGGGGGGCGCCCCGGACAGGCCCGGGTGGGGCCGCACATCTCGCATGGGGGCGCCCAGGACCACCGGCCCCCGAGGTCTCCGCCGGCCGCCACCGCAGCGCGTATCCCCCTCCACTGTCGCCTTCCGAGCAGGCGCCACGAGCCGCGCGCCCATTGGCCGGGAGCGCGGCTGAGTGTCCAATGGGAGCGCGGCAGGCTCCGGAGAGCGGCGCGTGCGCGCTCGGCCCTGCGTGCGGGACCCTCGCGGGGTCGCCCTCTGAGGGGACAGCGGGCTCGGGGTCCCCGCCCCGCGTGGCTGGGCATCCGCTTCTGAGGTCGGGCGCCGCCTTGCCCGGGCGACCCGGCGGGGTCTCGCACGTGCGCCCCCCGCCCCCCGCGAAGTGGGCGCTGCTGGGAGCAGCTGACACAGGCGGCAAGGCTGCGACCCCGCCGCGGGTTCCCAGGCCGCGGGCGCCGCGGGTTCCCGCGCACGGCCTTGCCCTCCCTTGCAGCGCGGTTCCCGGGGCCGCTGCCGTCCCGCGGGGTCCGGGGGTCGCCAGGGCCGCGGCTCCGCACAAATGCCGTAAGCCGCGCGGTCCCCGGACTCCGCCGCCCGGAGACAGGAGAGGGCGGAGGCTGGGCCTCCGGGCAGCCCGGCCCGACGTGAGGGCCGCTCCGCAGAGGGCCACGGTCGCAGGCCACGGTCGCAGGCCCGGCCACCGGGTTCCCCGCCGCGTGCTTCCCGCGTGTCCGGCCTGGCACGCGGAGGCCTCGCTGACGACAGGCGGTGGGCGTGAGTCCTCCCCGAGATCCCACCTGGACTGGGCCAAGGGCGCCCTCCGAACCCCACGCCCATGGGCCTTCCCGCGTAGCGGGACGGGGGTTGCGGTTCCCAGCGCACCCGAGGGCCCTCGCCCAGCAGCGAGGGCCGCGGAGCACGTCCGTGGAAAATGGCCAAGGTTGTCACCAGACACTTCACGATGGCCCCAAACACGTGAAAAGGTGCTCGAGCAAATGCAGCCACCAAGTGTGTCGTGTTTCGCCTGCCACACGGTAGCGGCGGGCGTTGGGATTCGGGGAAGGGCGCCCACAGGTGAGAGGGAGGGCCCGGCCCTAGGGAGCCGTGTGTCCCTGCGGGCGGCGTAAGGTCACAGGACGGCGTAAGGTCACAGGACGGCTGGGCCCCGCGGCTGGCCCACGAGCTGCTCTCGGGCGGGAGGCCACCCTCCTGCCTCCCCTGGCGCCTCCGCTGTCCGTGTGTGTCCCGGTGCAGGTAGTCCTGGGGGCTCCCGAGGGGCCCGCAGGGAGGAGCCTGGTTTTGCGGCCTGGTCGGCGGGGCGCCAGCTCGGGGTGGGCGGCTCAGCCCTGGGCCGCGGGCACCGTGCTGGGGGAGGAAGGCAGAGCAGCCTCAGAAGCGCTTATTGAAGCGCAGGTAAGTCACGGCTCCATCTGCCGCCCCGCCCCCAATCGCTGCCTGACGTTTTTTATATTGATGCATTAATTTATCTTTAAAAATGGGCAGAGACCGCTTCTTTGATTTCCACAGGGGCCACGTGGGGCCGGGGGCCGACAGATGATCTCCTGACCTCGGGCCGCTGCTGGAACGGCCCCTGCACTGAAGGCCCGAATCCCGGGCGCTGGGCCTGTGCCTGGCGCAGTGACGTCGGCTGGCGCTGGCCTTCAGCTGGCTCGTTTGCCCGAAGCCCCGGACACCCGACGGTCGGGGAGGCCACTTCCCGTGCCATCACCTTGCCCCTCATTTCCCTTGTGACTTTTTGCATTTATTGAAACTTGATTTATAGGCTAGAATTTGGCTGATTTTAGTAAATTTTCTGTGTGCACTTGAAAGGAGTGTGCATTCTGCCACTGTGGGGGCCGTGTTCTATAAATGTCAGTTAGGTCAAGCTTTGAAACAAGTTGCGATAAATTCAAAAACATTAAAGAAATACAGAATATGTTCTCTGATCACAACAGAAAGTAGAAATCAACAAAAAAAAGATATCTGGAAAAGTTAAAAGTATTTGGAAGTAAACAATATAGTTCTAAATAACCCATGGATTATGCAAAAAATCACAAGGGAAATCAGAACGTGATTTTAGCCAAATGATACTGAAAACACAATATATCAAAATTTGAGGGATGCAGCTAAAACAGTGCTTAGTAAGTATATACAGTTTAAGTATTCATATTAAAAAATAAGAAAGGTCTAAAATCAATGATCTATGCTGCTACCTTAAGACCTAAAAAAAAAAAAAAAGAGAAAAATAAAACCTAAAATAGAAGGAAGGAAATAACAAAGAAATTAACAAAAATCAATGATATAGAAAACGAACAAGCAATAGAGAAAAATTAATGAAAACAAAAACTAGTTCTTTGAAAATTCAATAGCTTCAGTAAACCTCCAGCTGTATACACTGGTATCAGAAGCTAAACTGTGTCCCCTCAAAATTCGTATGTCGAAGTCCTGAAGCTAGAACAGAATGTATTGGGAACTAGGGCCTTTAAAGAGGTAATTAAGCTAAAACAACCCAATATGACTGGTGTCCTCACAAGAGGAGATTACGACATAGAGACAGAGGACGACCGTGTGAGGACACAGGGAGGAGACGACATCTACAAGCCGAGGACAGGGGCCTCCGGAGAAACCAGCGCAGCCAACATCTCGATGTCAGATCTCTTTCCTCCACCATTGTAAGGTAACAGATTTCTGTTGTTTGAGCTTCCCGGTCTGTGTGGTTCTTTTTTATGGCAACCTTAGCAAACCGATACAATTGGTCAAGAAAAAAAAGAGAAAAGTCGTAAATTACCAATATCAGAAAAGACAGTGATGTCACTGTAGATCCTACATATATTAAAAGGATAATAACAGAACATTATAGACAACTTTATGCAATAAATTTGACAAATTAGGTGAAATTTCTTGAAAGAAACAAATTGCCACAAATTAATAAAAGAAGAATTATGTATGCATATGCATATATACACACAGATAGATAAATAGATACATACGTACATATGTTCTCCAAGCCCAAATGGCTCTGCTGGTAAATTCTGTCATTTAAGGATGAAATAATATCAATATTACACAGACTCTTTCAGAAAGTACAGGAAGAAAACACCTCTCATTTATGGGTCCAGCATACCCTGAAAAAAAAGGTACATAAAGATACTATATACAAACACAAAGAAAATAACATTACATATAAACAAATGTCATGCAGTGTGATACTGTGATACAACATGAAATATATGTTTGACTTTGCCTCCCAGTTCTGGCACAGAGCTCCTCAAACGCTTGTAGTCAGGGATACCAGGAGAACCTTCCGTTCTGATATTTGGCCTTTGATCCCACCTCCGACATCCACGTTAGGGACAAACAGTGTTTTCCTACTTGCACACACTTGTCACAGAACCACTGACACCAGACATGTGGGGGTTTCTCCTCACACACCAGGCGATCAGCTCTCCGGCTGACACCAACTAGGTGTCTTATCATTCAGGTCAATTCTGGCCCTGTCTACCTGGAGATGGCTTCCGAGTCCACAGGAGAAGGGCTCAGTCCCACAAGACTCCCCTCCTCTTTAGGTGCGGTCACGGCCCCCACGCTGCACCTGTGCTTCTGACCAGCTGGCTGTACGCCAGGGTTCCCACGCCCCCTCCTTGGGTTTTACTAATTTGCTAGAGTGGCTCATGGAACTTAAGGAAGCACTGCTTGATCAGTTTATCACGAAGGATTCAGATGAACAGGCAGATGGGAGAGATGCACAGGCACACGTGTGATACGCATGAGCCTCTCTGCCCTCTCCAGGCACGTCGTCCTCCAGGAACTTTCACGTGTTCAGCAATCTGGAAGCTCCCCGAACCCTGTCCTTTTTGGTTATTGTGGAGGCTTCATTACGCAGGCGTAACTGATTACGTCATTGTCCACTGGCGAGCACCCCAACCTGCAGCCCCCCGTTCCTCCCAGGGCGTCCATTCCCGTTCCGTTAGCTTCAGGTTACGCAGGTGCAGAGCCAGGGGGCTGTTTCACTACCAGGCGGCCCAGCTGCATTTGCTGTTAACCCCGATTTTCCCAGATGGGATGAAGGCACAACCTGCCCCCACAGGCACTTAGGAATTCTGACATAAAGTTTAAAAACGTAGTTACAGTTTCGGAATTCTTCCTACTTTCAGCACTTTCAGTTGTAGCCCTGGTCCTGTGATCGCTGTGTTGGGAGAAAAAAAAAGTGGAGCTGATGCAGGGAGGAAAGAAAAATGCGTCGTCATTGCGCCAGCGCGCTCACCCCGCGGCAGGAACCGCGCACTCGGACACGCACCGGCGGAGACGCCTGCCCTGCCGGCAGACCTGTAGTCAGCAAAAGAATAGCTCGTCATGGCTAAGAGGGGGTCATCCCAGGAATACAAGGTTGGTTTAACATTTAAAAATCAACCA